CCCCGGGCCTCGCCCTGCCTCTCTACCGCTCCATGCAGGGACTCGGCTTGTCCCCGGGCACTGCCGGAGGTTAAATCACGGTGTCTGGGCTTGGAGGGTTCATGAGGCAGGGGAAGGTCACTGGGGAAGTCGCTCAGGTATCCAGCGCCCGGTTTTGAATGCTTTTTGCACATCCAAACTGCGTCCCGAGGCAGAGCAGAAGCTGAGGATGAAGAAGTTTGTGTGACCCCTTCAGCCCCAGCGTGCTCAAAGACTTTGGAGAAGGGTAGGGTGATGAGCTCATCCCTCCTCCAAGCTCCTCTGAACCGCATCTCGGACCTCTGGACCTGTGTCCATCGTTGTATTCAAGCAAACCGTCTCTTTTCTCGAGGACTGCGACCCACTCCAGCCCAACCCAAGCCCACAGCAGCTCCTCTGCAGTCAGCTCTGCTGTCTGGGGCTGGGGTCTGGGACCATCGCCCTAAGAAACAACGCTCTGTTACCATCTGTGTCTCTGTACGGAGAAAATTAAAGGTAGGCTGGATGGGCCAAGTGCAGTGGAATTCACACTCAAAGCATTTACTGTGGAGCCTGAAATCGTCACCGGATTTCTGGAAGCCATTCCTGCCTGTTGACCATCAGCCCTGAAAGGCAAACGGGATAACTGGAAATTTAAAATTCAAATTGTGCAGGCCAGCTGGATATAGTGCATCAAATCCGATGAGACCAGAGCTAACGCGGGTGGTCAAATAGCTGGGAAAACCAATTTCCAGGCTGAGGTGAGCAGCAGCTGTAAGAATGATGGGGTTTTTTTTTTAATTCAAGAAAGTGCTTCTCTGCTCCACACTAATAAATCGACTGCTGGAATGGCTCCACCAGCTCCTGAGACTGCGCGGTTCATTTCTCTTTGATTACCTGTGACCTCCCTGACCAGCTTTTCCTCCAAAAAGTGTTAATAACTGTGCATTAAATTAGTTATTTGAAAGCTAACAAATTGACCCTAGCTCTGCATGCTGCCTGGCGCAGGCTGTGCGTGCAACACCGGGGCTGCAGCCCAGCGGCATCGGAAACTCGGCCACGCTCCCCGTCCCGGCAGGATCCTCCCGGGGACTTCCACGGGGCAGGGGCAGAGCCTAGGAGCCCCTGGTCCCCGCGCTGTAAATGTGCCACCCCACTGCTTCAAGCAGGCCACCTGGATAGCATGGCCTAGATGGCTTTTTTTGAAAAAAAACCACAAAAAACCCTACATTATTCTTGCAGGGAGAGATAAGAATAAAGAAAAAACCCAAAAAACGTGTTATAGGTCTGAACGCTCTTCAAACAGCAGTTCAGAAAGCCAAGGTACTACCGGCAGTGGTGGCTCCCTGCGCCAGAGGTGCCCAAGGAACCGACGAGCATGGGGCACAGCTCCAGAGTATAAACCATGGGGGTTCCCTCAGAACATGGAGCCAGCTCTGCTGCTGCTGGAGCTAAACCAAGGGCCCTACCAGTGACCGAGTATTCACAGCCCATGAGGACAACTCAGCTCCGACCCCCTCAGCCACGCTACACGCTTTGCTAAGACTACGTGAATAAACTTCAGCCGGCGCTTAAGTGTCTCCGTGTCCACAGACTGCACAAATACACGGTAGAGCCAGCGCCGAAGCACAGCTGGACACTATTTCCACCTCGTATGGAGTCTGAGGATGGACCTAAAGAGCACCGCAGGTTTGTAAGAATACCAGAAAAAGGTTCTATGTTAAAAGCCTAGAGAAGCCCCGAGGCAGGTTTTAACTGTTAGGAAGAAAAGTGCTGGGGCTACTCCGCAGTGCTCTCCCTGCTCCTAGCTAAGTCAAGCGGCACCGCCTTGTCTGTCCATTGCAACTCCTGTCCACCTGTCTCCTTCCAGGCCTTCCTGGTGCGAGCTGAAGGACTACGAAAGCGAAGCAGAACAGACGAACGGGCAGACGAGACAGCCAGACAGACAAACTGGTACCCCCTCAGCGAGAGGCACACACTGGCAGCGATGCTCCCACACCTCCATGGAGAACCACGAGCAGGGAGGACTCCCCAGCCCAGCCAAAAGAAAAAAGGCAAAGCTCCGCACGTGCCAAGCCCTGGCTCTGGTGGGAGCGAGGGGAAAGCTGGCCCAAGAGCTCTCACACAGGGCGCTGAAAAGGCCACGGCGTGGAGCAGCCTGAGCTAAAGGCCATCAAAGACTCCTCGGACCCTGGGTCAGAAGCTTCAGGCTGGGGAGACGCATCTCCTCCTGGGAGGAGGTACCAATGCCTGCGGCGGGCTCAGACAATAAACGCGCCGGGCAGAAACCGTGGAGCAGCAGAAAGTCTCGGGGGGGAATCAAAGCTCCCCGTGAGATGGGTGCCAAGGACGGACCACACTAAGCAAGGGCAGCTGGTCTGTGCTGGGGAACGCCGGGCCTGAGCACCCTCGTACGCTCTCCTCGACCCTCGCCCGGCTGCCCCTGCCCACCCCACCGCCCCGCAGATTACATTACTGTAATAACAGCAATGATTTTACTGGAATATTGAAACAAATTAATTGCCAGTTACACCTGAAGTATCTTTCACACGCTGTGGGGCTGTTCTTTTTCCTTCTTAATTGGGACTGTGCAACTAAACAAAAGGGAGGAACTTCAGACCAGCTAAAAAAGCCATTGCACTTTATATTATTATTTTGCCGCAGGTCTCAAACCTGCAAAAAACCCTGGGTCAGAATTTCCTAACTGGAGAGGTTCTCTCTAATGAGAAAGAAAACTAAAATTCAAAACGGTAAAACACCTCAAACACCAGGGATGGGCAGTGATGGAAATAAAACCCAAACGCAATGCCTCATTTCCATCTCTGCCAAGGGCTTTTCTCGTTTGATTAAAATCAGTGAAAAAATGGCATATTTTTTTAAAAGGCCCTCAGGGCATTACCTGAAGTTGTGCTGAAGCCCCCCGCCTCTGCACGGGTCACGCAGGCAACGCTCGGTCGTTTGCACGCACAAGTCCCGCTCCCGCACCCTCCACGGCTGCAGACCCAGAGCTGGGAAGGGGGCCAAGGCTACCGGCAACGTCAAGCGCCATTTTAACTCGACGCTGGCAA